TTTTTCTCATCTCTAATTCCATTATCGAAAAAAATAAAAATAAAGGATAATCCCCTCAAGAACGAATTCAAATAAAAATTTAAATAATTAGCAATTATCCCATTATTCTCGTCCTCTTGTTATTTTTATTTTTTTTCCCCGATTTTAATTTTGATATTAAAATTAATAAAATTCGTGTTATTCCGACACCAATTGCATGATGCAAAAGAGTCGCGCCAAGGCCCATGTCCGTATTTTCGTCCCGAGGCTAGCCACTCCAGAATTAGCCTCGAAACAGACGAGAACAATGGGTACTAGGCGCGACAACCATATCCGTTCCTTTTGTCGATTTCAAGGGTCAGTGTTAATACTGGACATGGAGAATATCAGGGGTCTCTCTCCGACCCCAAGTTTTTCCCGACGGTTCGGACGAAAGTCCCGATCAATCCCTCTTTAGGCAGTTAATCTAAGAGTTAATCCGTGGATTTCGGGGGGCCGACTAACCTTCGACCGCCTGACACCGGATTGCCCTCCACTAAATATGGAGGGATGAGGTCACAGTAGGGACCTGCCAATCCCTACTCTGCAGGTCCCAATAGGCCGGCACATTCTCCTGCACTCTTTTCTCCCCTTTTGTCTCACTCTCCCTCAATTTCTCTCATTTTTTCCTTTCTTTTCTGTTATTTCTGGTGTTAACTGTTGAGTCTTTTTCTAGGCCATTGATCCTCATCCATGGCCAGATTCAGACTCAGCAGTTGGCTGTTATATCTCGTATTATAATAATGACACCTCCATGCTCATAGGGGGTTCCATTCTACCTCTGTTAATCCCAATTTTGAGCCCCCTTCGCTCTGATTTTCTTTGGACAACCTTTTTCCCACGTTGAGACTATAGAGGCTCTATTATCTTAGGCCTAGCTAGTCCGAGATATCTCGGACTGTTGGACAGCCCTCCCAACACCATTATTTTGCTTTCTTTTCTCTCACGGTCCTCCCTCTTGATCCCACTAGTGCTTGCACAAGTGGTGCTAAAATTTTTCACCGTCTAGATTTTGATCTTAATGGCCCCTTGCTTTGCGTGTGCATTCCTCATGTTGGCTCATGGTTACCTTGGGACAACTCAAGTCCCTGCCACTCTCCCCATACTAGTTCCCTTTTATTCTCCCGCCGATGGTCCCGTCGGTGCGTGTTCCGTTTTTCGACTATTATTATTTGGGCCCACTTGATCCCCGGCAGCGTCCCGAATCATGTCCCATTTTCATTTTGGGGCCTCCTTGTCCTTGGTGGTTCCAATATCCCTTCCTTAGGCGCCCCATGTGTGCCGATTATTCTTGGCCACGAGATCTCATGTCACGGTTGCCGTTTACCGTCTTTATTTGCCCATGCCGAAATCGCTCTTTTCTAGCCTTTTGGGTTTGCCATGGCTCAATTTCTTTTAGCCTAAACATCCTTATGCAGTCCAATACTTCTCGGACTGCAATTATGGTCATTTTCCTAGTCCCACAGCCCCACAACTTGCCCTAAACTGAAAGAAAATGAAACGCTCAATTTTCAAGTTATCCGGGCTCAATATTGGTCCCAGATGCACCTAAAACATGTGTTTTCCCTTCCCCATGCAGTCCGATGTAACTCGGACTCCAATGGGGGTTAATTTTCTAGCCTTATTGCCCCACAACTAGCCCTCAACTGAAAGAAAAAGAAACGACCAACTTCGAAGTGCATCTGGGCTCAATTTTGGCTCTAGATGCATCTAAAACATGTGTTTCTCCTCCCCCATGTAATCCGTTGTATTTCTATTGCATGGGGCCTTGATTTTTCTTGATTTTCTCTGCAAAATCAAGATCCTTTGCAACCG